GATTGTCGTGGAGAATGATGCCCGCACCAGCACCCCCGTTTGATGCAAATGAACCATCAGAGTTCATCTTCACCCACCCAGTGGATGGAGGACTCCACACAAGAAGAAAAGCTTCCACTGGTTTCTCATGTACATGAACTACTAGATGATCAAATGAGACTACTCCTTTTCCTTTGCCAGGGTCTGGTAGAGGGTCTTGCAAGACGCCTAAAATGGAATAAAGATAGCTACACAAGAATCTCTTCGAGACTTACATGGGGGAGGAACCTTATCATGCACAATTTCATTTCGGTCATGTCAACATCTCCATATCATCAACTTCAGGTATAGCCACTCCTTCCCTGTGTTCCAAACATCATCCAACAAATGGTTTTACACACATCAGGCATTGTGTTCCATAGCTCCTTTGCTAGAGAGCATCTACAGTGTGCATGAAAATTATCTTCAGGCTCTGTTCCACACAACGGGCAAATAGTAGTAACCTCAAGGCCACTCTTGTGTTTGTTTTCCCAAGTCGGTGGTGAGTTTATAGCAACATGCCCGCAAAATTCCAAATGGTAGGAGGAACACCACGGGACCAAATTGGTTTCCAGCAAGACCGTTGCCCACCAGGCACCAAACTTGACGCAACTGCATGTTCACGGGAGGCTTCATATGAGGGCCAAGTTGTAGGGGCTTTTAACCGAGAAAATACCATACTTTCCAAGCCCCATGCAAGTGTATCTTCTTCCAACCTCGGCAATGCTCTTATTCTTCAGATCTATGGAACATCACAAGGTAGGAGGTAATTTATCAATAGATCAAGGTTCCAGGAAACATTATCATTCAGGAGCTCTGAAACATATCGAATTTTGCACCTCCCTTGCGTTGTTACTAGTTTATATGAATCCGGTCTTGGAATCCAATTATCACGCCACATCCGGATGGCTCTTATGTTACCAACACACCATGCAAGTCCTTCTTTAGTAGATCAATGCCATGACTAATCGCAAGCAAGGAAGATGAGACATTACTAGAAAAACGACGTGTCCGAGGAAGGTGATTCAATGCTTTCCAATGGTCCTTTCACCACCCCTTCTTCGATCCCCAATAAAAGTTCCTGGCCATCCTAGTCAAATCATCACACACCGAGAAGGGTGGTTTAAAAACTCCCATATTATACATAGGCAAGGCTTGTGTGACTAACTGATAATCCCCTCAAAACAAGAGCTAGTAATACTTAAAACAACCCACACTTGCTCCTGCATAGGAACTGGGTATGCTTGACAAAATAAGATGGAACATTTCTTATAATTCAGGCATTGCGTAGTAGCCATTCCATATAAATCAAGATCACTTTTTATGTTCGTAGCTTCATCATGAGAATCCTCAAAAAACAGCATAGTGTCATCCACAAAAAGTAAGTGTGAGATTTTTGGCACCCTTCGGCGGATTTTTACCATGATATTATTGGAATTCATGCCATGCTTAAGAATAACATAGAATCCATTAGCGGCAAACAAGAAATAGAAAGGGTGATAATGGACCCCCTTGCCGAAGCCCATGTGTTGCTGCAAATGAATCCAAAGAGGGCCCCATTAATTTAAAAGAAACCTCATCGATGTGACACATGTCATAATCTAGTTAATCCATCGATGAGTGAAACCCAACCTTTTGCATCACTTGTTCCAGGAAACCCCAATCCACCCTAATACACTATCATAAGCCACAGATAAATCCAACTTGTATGCATAGAAGCTCTTGCTTTATGTAATGATTGCATTCAAAGGCAGCAAGGGCATTATCAGTGATCAAACTACCTGGAACGAAGGCACTTTGCTCTTGGGAGATAAGATCATCCAGTACAGGCCATGGTCTAATCACTAGACACAACACTTGGAGATCACTTTATAAATTAGATTACATGAGCTGATGGGCCTAAAATCATATAATTTCTTTTTTTTTGAATGAGTACTATAGAAGTAGCGGTCACACCTTCAGGCAAAGGAGGTTTTTGTGGAAGTTCAACATCCTCTACAACACCTATTTTCCCACTACCCACCTTGTTCAAGTATCAAACAAAACTTATCTAAATTTCTTTTTAGCAAGCATAACGTTCCATCATCCACTGCTTCTTTAGTACTACAATCTTAAGTACATTCCCCTTTTCTCTCCATTTTGTCCCCCCCTCATATCTATGAGTTTTTTCATTTGTTTTACCTAAAAAACACTTTAGCTACCCCATATTTAATTAATTACCAAATACAATCTTATTTTTTGGTAAGGCAATAAGGGTTTACAAATCGAATAATTTATTTGGCAAGTAAATTATGAGCATATTTTTTTGGTAAATGCTTATTTGCACAACCGCGGTAATATGGACAGGTAAATCATGGGCTAGCGTACTAAATAAAAGTTGCCAAATATGCCATTAATTAAAATTAACTATTGCATGCAGAAAAAATGCAATTAGAAGCACGTAGATAGATTACAAAAAGGGTTTTGCTAATTTACAGTCGCTCAAGATTTTTTCCGTTCTTACTTGACACTAAAGATCATCAACCTATGTAAGATCTTTTTTTGCTAAACTTCAAGAAATAAGTAACACAACAAGGTGTTTTCCTTTTATAGCTTACCAGTCTAAAGTACAATAAGGTGAACTTCAAAAAAAGTATGAACATTTTGATAAAATCAACCGTGGAGATAATAATACATTTTGTGTACATGATGAATAAATTCTTATAAGAAAGTGATCATCAGTTTAGCCATATATGAATAGATTTGTAAACTGAACTTGGGGTTGGTTGATTCCCAAATCGCCCAAGACGTATATGTCTTCATTTAAGAAATGACAAAAGGTGAAGGTCCTCTCTAAAGTAGAAGATTTTGTTGCGAAACCAAATTTTTGTTGGTTTTTTGTTGGGAATTTCAATCTCTCACGAGACCATATGTTTTTGGCATTTCCCCTATGTTTATGGAAATAAATACTCCTACCATTTTTCAGGTTTTGCACTTTTTACTTGCATCAAATTTTTATTTTATATGATCATTGTCTATAGTATTTTTTGAGAAAGAGCGCCGACCGTTCTCTGACCAAGGGAAATACAGAAAAGAAAAACAGGATCTGGAAGTGCCAGAATGCAAGAAAAAGAAGAAATAAACCGAACCGAATAGGCCACGAGCCCCATGATCACAAAAATGACCGTCTCCTCCCCCTTCATCCGCTTCGCTATTTGCTTGTTGTACTATCTTGCTGCGGGGTATAGTACAACAAGGGGTACTTTTTAAAAACTACGTTAACATATTAGTAAAATCAACTGGCGAGACGTGAACCAACCTGTGGTTGGATGGTTAGAGTGACAGTGGTATTCTTAGCCCACCAGGGTTTAAGTCCTAGTGCTCACATTATTCCTGAATTTATTAAAAGATTTTCGACAATGCGCTTTTAGTGGGAGGAGATATTCCCGTCGACGAGGAGACGCGACTTCGTAAATCTTAAAATGATATGCCGGCTTAGTCTCTTGAAGGTGCTTATAGGGGTAGGGTGTGTGTTTGTGCGTTCGTAGAGGTGAGTGTATGCGCGTATGTATGAGTGCTTGCGTCTGTACCGTGTTAAAAAAAATCAACTAGCGAGACAATAACACATTTTGTGTACTAGATGAACAAATTCTTACAAGAAAGCGAACATTAATTCATGCATCTATGGATAAATTTGTAAATTCAACTTGGGGTTGGCTAATTCCCAATCGAGACGTATATGTCGTCAATGAAAAAATGACAAAAGGTGAAGGCCCTCTCTAGAGTATAAGATTTACTCTCCATTTTTAAATATAACTCTTTTTAGATATTTCAATATTCCTACATAAGGATGTATATAAATATATTTTAGAGTGTGGATTCATTTATTTTGCTCTGCATGTAGTCCATATTAAAATCTATAAAAGGACTTATATTTAAGAACGGAGGAAGTATATGTTTCTTTTGTAGGAATATATTTAGAGTATTTTTCCATGGCAGTGATTTGGATCAAAGAACTGCGACACCAAATTCTTATTGATTTTTTGTTGGGAATTTGAATCTCTCACGAGACCATATTTGTTTGCATTTCCTCAATTTTTATCCAAACAAATACTCC